AGAATCTTCTTAGCAAATTGCAGTAATGCAGCACATGGGAAAAGGAAATCGACTGTGACGAGAAGCCCAAATTACAGCACTTCATGTTTATGTATGATGAGATGGTGCAGAAGCCACACTGTTCTAAAATCAGCTGAATCAAAAGAGCTGAAGCTTCTTCTATTTTTCTCTGCCCAGAAGATTGTGAATTGAAAGATTTTGGTCAACTACTGATCAATGTAGGTAAGACATTGATTAAGAAGACTAGAAAAGGGTACCACTATTACACTACAAGATCCAGATGAATATCATGATCTGATTTTTGGTGAAAAGAATACAAAGTTGAAATGTTAGTTAATAATAGAAATGATCTCTGTGTTTATATTTTGTAATCAAATGTTCCTATTACACACACCAGGAGGAAGCATCTTCAGGATTTTCAAATACAAGTAACAGCCATCACTGACACTGCTGGTAGCTGCTGCCCTCTGTTGACTGTAGAGGTATTGAAAGTGACAGCATGCATCATTAATTTGAGAATCAATCTCAATAGTGAATCCAACAGTGTGGGCAGTGACACCCTCTGGCACTTCCAAGAGCAGGCATTTAGATTGGCAATGAGGAGAGGATGCCTTGGAAAATCACTTGCCACACTCTTATTCTTTAGAATTTGAAACAAAGGAGTGGATTAAAGGCCCAATTCTATTGTTTTCTTGTATTGAAAACTTGAAGACTAGCCTCTCCACGCTGGAACCAAAATCTCCAGTGATCCTCATTTTTCCAAACAAATGGTTTCCATGTGCACTAGCAAATCGCCGAAAGTCAAAACCGCATGCTGAGGTTTTCAAGTCAATTGTAAACAATGGACCTTGTGGCATTGGATCTGTACTGAAAGTCCAAGTGCTCAATTCTTGGCCATCAAATATTTATAAGACGGTTTCTTCATCCACACAAAGAAACAGGAAAAATCATGTAGGTCTCTCCTCTCCATCTAAAAGGTCCCAAAAAATATAGCGCAATTGGCAGTGTATGAAATTATGGTCCAGCTTGCAAAGAGTTACAACTGAAAAACTCAAACAAACAGTTTGAAATTTTTGATTCACTTCAAAATTTGATGGGCTGGCAGGCATCCAGCCAGTTGAAGAGGGCACTGACCATTTGGATATCAGCTTAGTCAATCTCTTAGAAGACAGGAGCAGTGAAGGTACCATTGATGATGGTGACTGTACTGTTCAGGAGTTAGTAGAGAAAAATTCTCAGCAGGGTCTTAATGTTTCTGTTGCCAATGACAATGCCATTCAGTACAAGTCAGAGTTATCCCAGCAAGTCAGTTATTGGAAGTATTAACAGCATAGATTACAGTTCTTAAAGTAGTGTTACTAAGTTATTTGTACCATACAAATGCCTTCCGAGAAGAAGAAGAAGAAGAAGAAGAAGAGAAATGTTTTCAATATCTTGCCCCCTCTGAAGAAGGAACTATGCAAAATTCTGCTCAAGACATACTCATCAAAGGAAAGAAATCCATAGAAACTACCAATTTTAATATGGACAAATAATCACAAGAATCTTGATGAGAAATGGATCCATGAACTACTAGGTCAGGAACTAGATTCTGCTCTAAATTTGTTGTCATTGTGCTAACAGAATATATATTTGAAAGCAGCGTGGGAAAGGGTGGACAAAAAATAGTATTGTAAAATGAAAAAGTAGAAAATCATCTCCAGCATTAAAAAGTACTAGTGCAACAGCTCCAACTTCTGTACAAGACTCTTTGACTCCCGGGAGTGTACCTGTATCAGTGTCATTTTCAGACAAGGAAGCAGAGAACAAGACTTCCATGTTGACTGCTGTCAATGATTCATCTGCTGGTGATTCTTCTACATCATTAGATTCAATGGATGAATTACATTCAACACCAACATTGCAATCATCATCACCACCAGAAACTCCAGCAAAGCAAATAAAGAAGAGAGTTTGTCTTGGTGCCCTAACTCCTCCACCACTGGCATTATCTCCTGTTCTTAGAAAAGCTGTGTTTATACCTCTTCACCATACCAGCAGTAAAAGACAACACCCCCAAAACACACCAATCATATCTTGCCAGAGTGCAGACACCACTTTATCCAAGCTATAGTACTACTCAAAATGACAAAGATCTTGAAAGAAGAGCCCTTGAGTTTGTTTGTCTCCAAGCTGCTGATACTACGCGTTTCGTAACAATTGAATACGGTTGCAAAAGAGAGCAAAAAGTAATAATTTCAAGTTCTTAACTTCGATTTGAAGTTATCAACTTCAAAATGACCTTGTAGAAAGTCTACCAGGTTCTACTGAGCTAGTTTTTGGATTGCATTCATGATTGAAAGGCCGGATTCATGATTGAATCACCTCAATCGCCCTGAACCATTTTTTTTGTTTTGAGGGGAATCGTGATTCGGTCATTCAGTCATATTAAAAAACTAGCTCAGTAGAATCTGGTACATGATGTAGTACAAGCAAAAGTTCATAACTTCAAATCGAAGTTAAGAACTTGAAATTATTACTTTTTGCTCTCTTTTGCGACCGTATTCAATTGTTACAAAACGCGTAGTAATGATGACAACATCATGGTTGGTATGCGCAACTAGGAATGGAAGGAGCTGTCAAAAGTTTGCAAACAAGGCGGTAGAGTCTGTGATGGATTCCATCCAGAATATTGTAAGCTGTGCTGCAGAGGATAAAGATATGCAGAAGATGGTGCTTAAGAGGGCAATTGTGCACAATTATGATTTGACTGTGCACAGTGAACCAGAGACACATATATCATCATTGGAAGTACTTGAAATACAAAATCACTCTGGATGGAATGTATCAACATTATATGTTGACTCTATAATGAGAGATGTCCTGACCCTGCTAAGAAAGAAGAAGAAAATGTTGATATCAGATAGTAGGAATCCATTTGATGGACGGCTCAGGACAAAGATTGGTCAGTTTGAATGCAATAGCGCTGTTCCTTTGAAATGTAATTATGTCAAGTGCTATGTGACAAAAGAGGATGTGGAAAGATGTGTGTACTATCACGACATTGAGAATGTACCTTTGCTCGTGGAAAGCCTTGTACCTGGTTGCACATTGGAGGGAGAGATGGAAGATTCATTTGGATTCTCAACATTCAAGAACAAGATAATCTTTTGGTTTGGAGCTGATTGAGGGGGGGAGACCTGATCATGATAATTGCTCTTGCAAATTGGCATAAAGGTAATCACCGATGCTTCTCAACTCCTATTAGAGTTGTGGAGAGAGCAACAGAAATATAGTACTAAAACCTAGAGAAAACTGTACATTCTGCTGCTCAAAAAGCTGTCCTTGAGCAACTTGTAAACCAACAGCTTTCCTCCACAACAGAAGAATTGGATGCTTGTATTGCTATTAACTCCTGGAGGGCTCCATGTACCAGCCATCATCAGCATGGTCAGCACACTCCTCTTCCTCTTCTTCTGTGATGAATTGTTCAGTTTTCCTTGTCTTTGTTGAATATGTTCTGTTCTTGTTGAGCAGGGGAAGGGAAGATATGCTTTTTCTTTTAAGATCAAAATTTTCAGTTTGGCACCAAGTGACTGCTGTCTTTACTAGGGTGTGCCCACTCTCCACCAGACATAATCTGTTCAGTCAAGGATTCCAATAAAAAAATATGTCTCTATACAGATCTTGGTTGTTGTGGGCCCACAACAACCAAAATTTAAATATTTCAATGAGCCAGGCGAGCCAAAAATGACATATTTCAGTGTTTACAGGAATGACCCAATTGATTGAGTGAATAAGAACAAATGGAGAACTGCAACTAAATATTACTAGTATGCGTTGGGGATCAATTGAAACTATGTTTCACAGGGCTTTCCCAATCTTAATTTAACATTCTGAATGTTAGAAATAAAGTTCCAAATGTTTATTAAAGGTACAGAATGTTAAATTTTTCATGTAGGCCTACACAGATCCTAGTATTATCCACATTCTTCATTCAGTCTTGCATGTGCCTAAAAAAGGAAGAAGGGATCTAAAGAAGAGGAAGAAGAGGACGCCTCCCCTGCTAACTTTTGGACTGTTAAGCAGAGCATTCAGGACATTAGTATGTGTTTCATAACAATTGAAATTGGCCTCAAAAGAGAGCAAAAAGTAATAATTTCAAGTTCTTAACTTCAATTTAAAGTTATGAACTTTTGCTCGTACATCATGTACCAGGTTCTACTGAGCTAGTTTTTAAAAATGACTGCTGAATGGCTGAATGGATTCCCGGGGCCCCTCAAAACAAAAAAAATGGTTCAGGGTGATTAAAAATGGTTTGAGCTGATTCAGTCATGAATCAATCATGAGTGCCATCCAAAAACTAATAGCTCAGTAGAACCTCGTAGACTTTCTACCAGGACATTTGAAGTTCATAACTTCAAATCGAAGTTAAGAAGAACTTGAAATTATTACTTTTTGCTCTCTTTCGAGGCCGATTTCAATTGTTATGAAATGCGTAGTAAATTGAAGCAAAAACCACTGTGTACTCATTTCTACATACTACAAGTTTCATAACAATTGCACACGGTCTTGCCCAGAGAGCAAAAAGTAATAATTTGAAGTTCTAAACTTCGATTTGAAGTTATGAACTTTTGCTCGTACATCATGTACCAGGTTCTACTGAGCTAATTTTTWAAAATGACTGAATGGATGAATCACGATTCCCCTCAAAACAAAAAAAATGGTTCAGGGTGATTTTAAATGGTCATGAGGTGATTCAATCATGAATCAATCATGAATGCCATCCAAAAACTAGATCAGTAGAACCTGGTAGGCTTTCTACGTGAAGTTCTTAACTTCTACCTGAAGTTCTTAACTTCAAACCGAAGTTTAGAACTTCAAATTATTACTTTTTGCTCTCTTGGCAAGACGGCGTGCAATTGTTATGAAACTCGTAGTAACCAAATTAACATTGGGAACGCCCAATTGATCCGCAACGCGTAGTAATATGCTCTCCATCATGTTCGACTGTGGGAGAACGACCCATCATAGTGACCTAAATTGAYTTTGTTGCCTATCCCTAAGCACGCATTACTTTCAACAATCTTCATTGTAACCAATCACCTRCCTCCATTTCTTCAAACGATTAAGAAAACAATTTTTGATGTGCGAAGGGAAGAGACGATAGTCAGAGAAAATAGGATCAGTCGGTCACTAGTATCTGTTATTGCCACCTCTACCAGTCTTCCATACAGGGATCGAGATGACGGAGAATGGGTTTCCGGAAATTAATTTGTGATCAGACATTTTGCTTAGAAGAGGACGAATGCATGTGACAAATGCAATAAGACGTAAAACGACGCCTACAGCACAAATGTTCTCACGTGCTGTTCACAACTCGTTGAGATCTACGTTGGATTCATTTTCTTTTCCACATAAAGAAACTTTTAAGGGGTGCATTAATCCAAGTGTTGATTTCGATCACGATCAATGGTGGGCAGAAAACGAGTATATTGTGAAGTATCTTCTGGAAGGCAGTGACAGTGGTGATAATACAATCCTTTTTAGTGACGATGGTGGCTCCTTCTCATCTTCAAGGCTCCTCGGAGATCATTTTGAACGGGCGTATGCGTCTGACGCAATATATCAAGATCTGTTTGTAGACACTCCACCGTGCCGAGAAACACTCAAGTTTTCCTTCCAATTGATACACTGGTACTGGGACATAAAAGTAACAAGTTTTGATCCGCCAACTCTCTTAAGATCTTTCCCATACTACGACATCAATAGCGAGGGAGCATACACCAAGAACGAAAGTGCAGGAGAAAACATGTTGGGAGGAACAAAACGAGATGACGTGATTCATGTTGTTAGAGTTCCGTACAACTTTATACAACAACCTCGTCTTCCCTTCTTATCTTCTCATATGTTTGAGAGGTTCCCGCTTTTACCTGCGTTAAAGCAAAAAATAATTGAGCATAAATACGAAGGATGGATCGATTTTTATTTAAGACGGACAGCGTCTTCGCGCAGAGATAGAGGGAGTTCAGAAACTGGCAAATACAAAAATTGTTGCAACACCAATCGTGGCGATCGTAATTGTGCCAATGACAAAAACGGGGAGTGGGAAGTGTTCCGTCACGACGATCGACTTCGCATCTTCCTTCCAAATTTTTTGCGTCCTTATATCTCATTCACTAGTGAGAAAGTAGGCGACAGGATCGATGCGTTGAGTATAATCGAGAGAATACATCTTTTCTCGATCTTCTTCCAACAATTTCGTTTGCTTCATGGAAAATTGCTGCATTTTTACTTGAAGAAGAAGGCACGACAAAAAGCTAGGTAGGTTGGATCATTCGTTATGAAAAGAAGTGTAGCACTTTTGCTAATTAAGTAACTGAATTTTTCATTCAGAAAAATTCAAATAGTCCTTCTTTCAATTATTAGGTTCAGCATGATAGGTTCCGGTTGTACCTTCAAAAAGTTGTGATGTTTATGAGTGTATACACAGAGGTTAATAGGGGTTAAAACTTCTATCACCACGCCTCAGTATAGGCGCTTTTGATAGCTATGGAGACCATGGACGCCTCCCTCCTTTTGAGCAGCGGGGGATCGAATCTCGAACCTCAATTTTCCATTATATAGGCGTTCTCTGGCTATATCGATGCTTTGAATTCCAGCATCTTGCAAACCATGGCGAATCCCTTGCATCAAATAAGGAATGTACCGTCGAAGCGTTCCTTTGTCTGTAACAGCACCGCTAACGCCCTGAGCGACCTTCACATGGGTGGACGCGGTATCCCAAACATAACGCTTTTCACTTCCACTTTTCATCGCTTCGATACTTCCCATGCCTCGATAGCGTTTCAAGCGGACTCCGTCCTGGTAAAAGTATTCACCCGGAGCTTCATCCGTTCCAGCCAACATACTACCCATCATTACACAACCAGCCCCAAGAGACAATGCCTTTGTAATATGGCCAGTGGACTTGATTCCACCATCAGCGATGGTGGGGATTCCAAATTTGCGTGCGTACTTCGAGACATGGTATACTGCACTGGCTTGAGCTCTACCAACAGCGCACACCTCTTGGGTAGTACAAATGGATCCAATACCCATTCCAACTCGAAGACCATCTGCTCCAGCCTTGATCAAATTGTGTGCCTGAGATGGAGTAACAACATTTCCACCAATAACATCAACTTGAGGATGAGTAGCCTTGAGATGCTGAATCATTTCAATTTGGTACATCGAGTCTCCTTGAGAAGAGTCCACAACGATAACGTTAACACCAGCATCGGCCAACAGCTTAGCACGGATTTTGTCGTCAGGTCTCGTTCCAATGGATGCACCGCACAAAAGTTGCTTGTTCTTTTTGTCTTTCGAAGCACGTGGATTCTCCTTATTCTTTTCGATGTCAGCTCGAGCGACCAATCCAACAAGTTGGTCATCCTCGTCCACGACAGGAAGTTTCCCCTTCTTGCTCTTCTTCAAAATCTCATTGGCCTCCTCTAAACTGATACCGTCTTTAGCACAAGTTAAGACAGATCTTGGCGTCATGAATTCGCTAACCTTGACTGAAATGTCATCGATGAAGGCGGTGTCGCGGCCAGAAATAATACCAAGCAATTTTCCACCCATTTTTCCTGTGTCAGTAACTGGGAATGAGGAAAATTTCAGCTTCGTTTTCAGTTCTAAGATATCTTCAAGTGTATTTTCTGGGCTTAAACAGACAGGGTCTAGAATGAAACCGTTTTTGAATCTTTTGACTCGCAATACCTCGGCTGCTTGGTCTTCAGCTTTCATATTCGAATGGATAATCCCGATTCCACCCTGCAGTGCCATTGTAATTGCCATCTGATGTTCCGTCACTGTGTCCATCGGCGACGACACCAAGGGGACCTGCAGTCGGATGTTCCTCGTAAGGTCAGAAGAAATATCGACATCGCCGACGCCAAATCCAATGTGTCCAGGCATGACAATCAGATCATCATAAGTCATTCCGACGCAACCGGGATTTTTCACGAAAACCTGGGTTGCCATAAAACTTTAAATTTTGACGAGATAGATCGATAGTATCCCGATAGGAAGCAAGAGGCAAGCGCAATGCAGTGAGTAAACGTCTCTCTTTACAAAGCAGACAGTATTCAGCATCATCACTTGTCTCTTTCCAAAACTGTCCATCTAACAATGGAAAAAAATCTTTCTTTCACGACGCCTCACCCTTCAGCACCCGAGTTCAAGGTTTCTTCATCGATAGTATCAGGAATAGTCGTCATGGTTACTTCGTGGACGTAATGAGAGTAATTTTCAACAGGACGATTGTTCTGAATCAGAGGTGAAAATGGAACATGCAGCGACCGGAGTTGATGGCTGTTTCATTCATTTTTCGTTTGCGTTTTGGTTAGCCAGGTGTACGAAATGTCGTAATCGTTCGTGAGCTCGAATCAAAAAAGGACAAAAAGGATTGGTTGTGAATTGTTGGAATTTCCTCATCGCACAAAACTGCGCGTGAACACGATTTATTTTTGTGTTTTTTTCCCTTCAAACTACGATAGTATGAGTAGTACCATCCTAAAATACGTACGTACCGGTAGGGATTTTACCGGTACCGTACGAAAATCGAAAATGCAAAGTTGCTATTCGGACAGAATTAGTTTTTGAATACAGTACGAACTGTACTACTGTAGGGGACAGTAAGTAATGATCTATGATCGATCACAGATTTTGTACCGAAGTACTTAAAGTAGTGCGTGACGATACTCGTACATATCGTACTTTCAATCCTGACCCAATCGGACTCTTTAAGGGGTGTTCCAGTGGATCTATGATCGAAAGCTATTTCAACGATCCTCCCCCCGAATTGTGATACACGTGTTAAAATCATTCAAAAGACAAGGAGTCGAAACTCAACGGCTATCTCAAAATGATAATCCCAAAATAATCATCATGGTGTTCCCGATTTTTCATATCGTACAGTATGATACTCTACGGTACGTACGTAGCTGATATTTCTGCTGGTTTTGAAGTTTTGTGACCCTACGGACCTGAACAGTACGTACGGTAGGATTGAGGTGAAACTAAACCTGAGCAAGGCACGGTCCGACGAGAGTGAAGCGGAGGACACAACATATGCATAACCTTCTTGTCAACTTCGAAGTAAAGACGAGATTTTTTAACTGATCAAGCAAAATGGCGTTGCAAGACGCAGTGAAGGATTACCTTCCCGATTGGCCAGAATGGTGAGTGCTGTAGGAAATGCATTCTTTCTTTCGATTTTACCGCCTGCTAGTTCCTAGCAGACTTTTTGAATGCGAGAATGATTTGAAGGGATCAATCCTGCTAGATTTTATGTTGCTTTGAAGATATTTTGAGTTTAAAATCCTCTCCCCTCATCAAATTTTGGTGACCTGTGCTTTTCCTGGTTCATAGGGCACTGGACGTACTCTTGGTGATGGCCGCACTGCTAACAGTCACTATTGTGATTACGCAGTATTTGTACACATCTCCGGAGGAAAAAGAAGAAACATCGACAAATGATGTTACATCTCATGCTGATTTGAAAAAGAAATTTGACGGGTTCCGTCGAAAGTACATTATCGTGTACCTAGTTATCATGTTGGCCGATTGGATGCAAGGAACGCACATGTACACCTTGTACCTATCTTACAATGTGAACGTGTCGGCACTTTTCATAACAGGATTTTTGAGTGGCGCAATATTTGCTCCATTTTTGGGAAGCTTTGTAGATAAATTCGGGCGTAAAAAATCTTGCATCGTTTATTGCGTTTTGGAAGTTATCATCAACACCCTTGAACACTCGCACGATTTTGGCATCCTTTTGTTTGGCCGTGTTCTGGGTGGAATTTCCACCAACTTGCTGTTTTCGGCCTTTGAATCTTGGATGACAACAGAACACAGGAAGAGTGGATTTCCTGAGGAATGGATGTCAAAGACCTATGCAGATCAATCCATCGGAAATGGTACCATGGCCATTTTGGCTGGAATTGTCGCTCAAGTATTGGAGGACAATCTAGGACAAATCGGACCCTTCCAGGGTGCTATTGCTCTTACCGTGCTAGCGTTGATCTTGGTACTTCCATGGGAAGAAAATTACGGCGAGGAAGAAAGTGATAATGATCACAGTCTGTATCATCAATTTAAATTGGGATGGGGAGCGACTCTCTCAGATTCGCGTATCTGGAGAATTGGTTTGACCCAAGCACTCAGCGAAGGTGGAATGTATACTTTTGTGTTCATGTGGGTACCCACTCTTCTATCTATGAATCCGCCTGGTGGATTACCAACGGGTTGCGTCTTTGCGGCGATGATGATGGCTATCACAATCGGGGGTATGGTCTATCCTCCATTGCAATCAATTATGTCTAACTTTTCACCAAAAGGAAAGGCACCTGAACTCTGCGCGACTTTTGTTTACCTAGTGGCTTCAGCCAGCACAGCGGTTCCGGCCTTCATCTTGTCTCAAGGTGCATCGGATGTCGCAGGAGCACTTACCATTGTGATCTCTGCATTCATGGTAACAGAAGCCACTGTCGGTTTGTTTATGCCCGTGGCCGGAACTCTCCGATCGAAGTATGTCCCTGACGCCTTGCAAGGTGCCATCCTTAACATTTTCCGGCTTCCTTTGAATGCTGTGGTTGTTGCAGGAACCCACGCAACAGATCATTTGGATCCAAATATTTGCTTTCAGCTTGTTAGTGCTCTTTTCTTGGGAGCTGCTTTGCTGCAAGGGACATTTTTGTTTGGGGGATCGTCCACAAGTACTACCAGTAGCAAGAAGAACGATTAGCTTTTCGTGCAAGTATAATCGTAATTGATCTAAATTACTCCGTGTGTCATGTATGTTCATTGAAGTACGCATTCTATTGCTTTTTAAGTCTGCCTTAGTTTCATATCTGAGCCCAAACTAAACAGATGAATTCGAATTTGAAAACATATTTTTCGAAGATAGTCTGACGCAGCAATTCAATACCAGATGCGTCACAAAACCCTTTCTCTCTGCAATGGATGTCTCAAATATTTCAGTTTCCGTGAATCAAAATCAACCCGGACTGATATCTTTCCCGTTCTAATAAGGTATGCATTAAAGTTATAGAGACTTCGTTTCACTCTCGCGTTTCAGCGGATTCTTCTTGTATGAAAACGAATGCTTCTCTAGGACGATATTATAGAATCATGTGTGTGTATGATTTGAAAACGCATACTTGACGCCCGATGCAATCCAGTTCCGTCGTAGTTTTCTACAAAAAACAGGCTGTATATTATATCAATTCTTTTTGCTGTTACTGTGTTTATAAAAAATATTCAGGTGTTTTCCGGCCCAGATGGGGTTCACCACGCCTTGGTGCGGGATCGAATTGCAAAAAAGTCTTGTTTAGAGCTTCGTCGACTTCCATGATCGCAGCTTGGTTTCCGCATCGGTAGCAATAATTCGGAGCGCTGAAGATTGTGACCACGGCACGCTCGTGGGACCAATTGTACCCGTCCATGACGAGCTGATGAGCCCGAGCCACGAGGCTCAGACCGTTTCGTTCGTTGAATTGCTGCGAAATGTCCATGCCAAAGGTAAAACCGGCTCCCCTGGGACTGATTCCCCACCCTRATCGATCGTCCGGATCACTCCACAGCAAATCGCACATGGGCCCCTCGTGGGGAACTTCTTGTACGCGATCTAGCTGTCGCACGTGATCCAGCGTGTCGATGGAGGGGCTCAGGCCTCCGTGCAAGCAAAACACTGAATGCTCCACCAGCGCTGTTAGCGGAAAATAATCAAAAAGGTCCGTAAATAATTTCCAAACGTTCGCGGAACCGTATTTCCGCACGCACTCGTCGTAAAATCCGTAGACCTGGGTGATTTGGCGCGATTCATGGTTGCCCCTCAGGACAAAGACTCGGTCCGGATAGCGCACCTTTAGACATACCAACATCGAAACCGTTTCGACACTGTAATATCCTCTATCGACATAGTCCCCCATGAACAAATAGTTGGTATCTGGTGCGCTTCCACCGATTCGAAAGAGTTCCATGAGATCGTGCCACTGACCGTGAATATCCCCACACACCGTCACGGGAGCCGGGACCGGCTGTACGTTAGATTCGTTCAGCAGTGTTTCGCGAGCCATGTCACAAAGAGACTTCACTTCAGTTTCGGCGAGGGGCGTTCCCACGGAAAGCTTGGACAACCAGCCCTCTAGGTCGTTGTAGGTTTTTTCGGAGGAGGACGCCGAGGATTCACCAACGTTGCTACCACCGTTTCCTGTTCTCACGGAGCCGGGGCCGTCGGTCGACATTGRAGATGATGAAGATTCGTCGTTAGAGCTCCCGTCTCCGCTCGATGACGAAACAGAAGTTGATGCGGTGTCGGGCTCTACTTCCATGGTTTTGGTGTTGCTGGCTGGCCAATATTGTTTATCAAAGGAAGTAAGCAGGATTTTGTTGTCTGCTGGTTTTTCCTCGTTGGGTTCGGACTGTTCCCGCGAGTTGTCGTTCCGTTCTCGTATTATTTAGTCAGTATGGTTGGTTCAATTATTGTCGTCACGTTCGGTCTGCAAAGAGTTTCTTGTTGATTGCTGTACTCCCTCATGATTGGAAGCATTGTTTGTTTCCCATACCGTACTGTCGAAATCAAGAACTTCACTCGGCGTTACTGGTACTGGGGTCAGTAAAGTACGGTACAGTACACGTTTCCCCGCTCGCGCCCTCCCTCAATTTCTGATCAGCTAGCAGCTCCTCAACTGTACGGTACATCAAGGTAGGTACGGTACGGTACGGTACGTAGCATGTAATGTACGTACCCGGCCACCAGGCCAGTGAACATACGTTCGTACGTACCGAATGGAACCATACAGTCTACCATCCGTACGTAGTTTGCCSACGTGATTGTGAGAGAAATCTAACGAAATGATAAGAAGCACCAAAACTACGAGTACCAGGTATCGTAGTAGGTATCGTATCGTGCCGTGCTGCTGCCGCCGCCGTCGTCATCCCCGTGCCGTCACGATCTCTAAATGAGTACCGTTTTGTGCAGTAGTTTGTACCACACTTTACAGTACCTTACGCGTTGTACAACACGAATCACTTTTGTTTCATTCTGTAATCTGTAACTACCATACCGTACGTTACGGTACGTACCGTACGATGCTCGTAAACGGATGTCGTCGACATCACAAAAATTATTGTACAGTATAACCGTAACGGTAAGTATGAACTGTACCGTAGTGATCAGAACACACTCGTAGAAAGAGTGTGATTCCCATTCAAGAGCTGTTCTTATCATTAGAATAAGCCACTTCGAGACTGTCCATCCCGATTTTTCTAGCAACATCCAGCAGGACCAGAGTGTGTCTCGAATAGGAACGCATATATTTTCAATTGCAAGCTACCGTTGGTTTTTGATCGTTGACCATGTTCGACGGTGATTTCCGCAGCAGACGAAGGCAAGTTAGAACAGAGATTCCAGTTGGCTCTGTATCCTCTTGAAATGGAAGACTGGAACCGGAAACAAGTTTTGCATGGCGATGCTTCCTCTAACTCTGAAAATTCCCTGTCTTGTTGCATCTCCTTTTGATCGATCGATGGATCCTGCCGTTGCCTCCGATCCGAATTGACACCAACAATAATTGCGTCAATGTTCAACGCGCACGACAGAGAGGTCAATCTTTCGGGGAACAACCGACGAGCGGGAGGAAGAAACAAGCGCGATTTGCTAAAGAATGCCGAGACGCTGCGGAAGCAACGACAGGAACGAGTTCGGAGGGATCGCTCCGCAAAACTGGTGCAGCGCGTCACTAGGGGTCACTTGTCTCGGTTGCGGACCATCAGTCTCTGTGCTTCGAACGTTTTATCGGATTGTCCCGCTACCATGAATTGCACTGATGCTGATGCTAGTTCTAGTGATGGCTGCATCCATGGAAATACTTGGAACGTGCTGAGACCAATGGCAGCTCTCTCGATGTGTTTGTCGCACCACACTCTCTTGACAAAATTCGACTTTACGCGCAGGGAGTTGCTTCTAGGATTCCGTTACTACCCCGACAGCATCATGGCGGGAAATAGCGACGATAAAAACGACAACAATGCGGACTTTGAAGTAGATATTATGGGCCTCAATAATGATCTACGTCCCATGGAAATTGAGGGCGAAGAAGGAAGCAGTTCTTGGTTCTCTCAGCAACGAATGATGACACACGCAATCGAAGAATTCGATCCAAAATACCAGTGCGACGCCGAGGATAGCAACGCGGAAATGTACCAACTCCTAAATACATATCGAGAATCCACCCGAATCGACGACCGCATTTTTTTGGGCTTGACAAAATGCATGCAGAGGTGGAGTCTGTTTGTCGAGGGTACAAAAAAGGAAGGAAACAACAACGACGAGAAAGCGACAAACTATAAAGCGATGCTCACGAGATGGGCTATGGAAGCGAGTGACCGACTGGAAAACCCCCATTCGAGTGTTCTTCTTGCGACCATTCTCCTCAGCACCAACGATAGAGTTAATACCTCCATAGCTGGAGCTTGTGCCGATGGCAGTGTCCGCATGTCCGATGCCTTCAATATTGCACCAGGGGGAGAACAAATCGAAAAATGGTTTGCGCTTTTGGCCGATATCTTGGTTAAGAGCGAACTCAAGGATGTCACCAAAGTCTCAAACGACACAAAGGATCTATTGTTGCAGGCTACAATGAAAAACCTTCGGAACAGTCAGGTACAACGCTTGCTCTACAATCTTCTCGATCTCACGAAATCACCGAAACTGATGCTGTTGATCAATCACGTACTACGCCAACCCCAAAACGAAAAACTCAAACTCGCCGTTTCCTTGCTCGCGAGAGGAGATTCCTTAGTACAGATGCAGCAGGAAGAAACACAAGATCAAATCAAAGATTCTGGAAATAAATACGATTGGGACAACGATGACGATTCGGAGGATGAGGAGGAAGAATCCGATCAGAAGCCGTCTAGCCACAAGAAAGCCCGTGGTGGATCAACTTACTACAAGCGACAGGAAATTTTGACTCTGGCGAAGCTAGACAAGGTTTACAGTGAGCGCATCCAGCAATCGATCAAAGATCATTGCCGCGTATTCGACGCGTTGACGATCGAGGTTGCCACCAAAATAGCAAAGGCACCATGGAAAGATTGGGGCTTGTACGTACTAGGAAGTTCAAAAGAAGCCGGGTTAGTTCGAAACAATAATGACAATCATTGCGGAGAGGTCGAGCGTTTTGTCGAATCGCTAGGATACTTGCTACAAGCCAGTAGTAGTATGCGGTCGAGAGCTAGATTTACTCCGTTGTCGCCGCTGGCATTCAATCAGTCCATACTCTGTTCCTTGTGGAATCTCGTTCGAGAGCAAAAAGGCGAGTGCGGTTTCATCTTGTCCATCTTTTCGGATTTGTTCAGCCATTACCTGGTGGCACTGAGTGACGAGGATTTTGTGTTGTACCATTGCAACAGCAGTAATAGCAATCCTTCTACATATTTCGAAAACAGAATTCTGGCCAAAGACATAGTCGCACGCTACAACCAAGAGCTCCACGAGGTTTACTGGACGAAACCGGTTTTGTACAGCGAAATTCATATGAGCAGTGCCAGGGGAAGATTGATTTTGTCCGGGACAAAGCTTTGGAATGCGTTGTACGAACGCTGGAATCGTCTCGTATCTGTTTCGTTTTGCGACGAAAGTTCTTGGTGGTTTCCTCATCTGGGCTCGAACGAAGGGGATAGGGCCGTGATTCCTGATAGAGAAGTTGGACATGACATCAATGAAGAAGATGACGACGATGACTCTTCCGTGGATATGGACGAAGGTCAGAATCCATTGTCAACTGCAGAAGCGGCAACCGATGCATTGGCGGACTCGTTTCGAGATCCAAAGATGGCTAGGGTGCTTACTATCATCCCACAGGCTCTGCCATTTGATCGTCGAGTGAAACTCTTTCATTCTTTGCTGAAGGCCAACAAACAAAAGGTTCTTCAGGCAGCACAAAGCCAAAGGGCGATGGCAGCGATGAGAAACCCTTTTGGCGAAGAAGCGGCTGCGATGATGTGGATCGATGGCAGTGTAAGAGAGCAAATAAAAATAAAACGTGCGCAGCTGTACGAAGATTCAATGGAACAACTCAACAAGTTGGGTGCTAATCTCAAACACAAAGGTGCGTATTTCATGTTGCACCATCCAAGGCCTATTCAAGAATCTGTGCCGGTTGGAATCGCAGACGTTGCGAAAGAAATGGTTCATTTTCTGTAAATTGCTAACTTGCAATCCATGCACGTCGTTTCTTTTCTTTTTCTCGGAAATAGTTCAAGTTACCTTCGTCAACAAACACGGGGCGGAAGAACCCGGCATTGATGGCGGGTAAGTATTTGATAACTTTCTGAGTTTGTCGTTGATCGCTTCTTCGTTTATTATAATTTATCTCATCAAACTAACCCCTACCGATTCCCCGACTATCTCGTCACTGTTCAATGTTTTTGAACACCTGCTTGCTCTGTGAACAGAGGCGTTTTCAAGGAATTTCTCGATGATTTGATAAAAGACGGTTTTGCAGCTAAGAGTGACGCCGACAAAGAGGGTGGCGCCCCTCGATTATTCTCGATAACTCCAAAACAACAACAACTGACCATGAATTTTGACTTGACGGAAGACAAAAGCATGCTCGTGCATTATGAATTCCTTGGTAGGGTGCTCGGAAAGGCGGTATACGAGGCTATTCTGGTAGAACCACAATTTTGCCTTCCTTTCCTCAATCAGCTACTGGGAAAAGTGAACACATTAGAGGATTTGAAAAACTATGACGAAGAATACTACAACAACTTGAACAAACTCCGTCACTTCACAGAGGAAGAAATAGACAGCTTGGGATTGACGTTTGAGCTGACGGTCGGGGGTAGTTCACCCAATGCTACACCTCGAACAGTCGACCTCGTCCGTTCGGGGCGATCCATTGCTGTATCCAAAAAGAACGTGTTCCAGTATTCCCAGGCAGTGGCCAACGAACTCCTCAACGTTCTCGGGGCTAACCAGACCCGGGCATTTCTGAGAGGTTTCCGAGATCTGATCAAGGTCGCATGGATTCGGTTGTTCTCGGCAAGGGAACTGCAAAAATTGATCAGCGGTGATGACTCTGTGCGCGGAATCGATGTCAGTTGTTTGAAGAAAGCAACGCATTACCTCGGGGGCTACCACGAGTCGCAACCCTACATCCAAGATTTTTGGGACATTCTCGAAAACGAGCTGAGCCCCGAACAACAGCGGAAATTCTTGCGATTCATGACGTCCTGCAGCAGACAACCCTTACTTGGGTTTTCTTCGCTGGAACCCTTTCCGGCGATACAACAGATACGCTTGCAAGACACCGAGCGTTCGAAGAATAGCAGGCTTCCGACGAGTTCAACGTGCATGAACCTACTCAAGCTTCCTAATTATCAGGATCGAGCTCTGTTGAAAGAAAAACTCATAGCAGCAGTCGAGTCGGGCGCTGGCTTTGAGCTAACCTAAAACCTCATATTTATAGAATAGATAGTAAGAAGTTTACTGTGCATTCAATATCAACACTGCAAGCCTAGAACTTAACGTGAGTCAAAAGTATGAATTGAAGAGTATGACTGAAAGTCATTCCCGTCTCCGCAGTAAAGGCCAACCTTGGACATTCATTAGTTCTATCAGTCTTGTGCAGTGACATGGCCGTGAAGTTCTCTCAGAAACTCGTCGTGGTTCAAAAAAGCTGTTCCGATGTGACCGAACTCGGCAAAAACCCGAGACGATACATTGGTGAAGTGGTTGGGCTCGTCCTTGTCGGTATTGTCGGCGTGTTTGTTGGCGATCCACTTTCCATGGGAGGGGGGGCAATCCTCGTCGTCCTCGGCATACCAGACTACCACCGGAAGGTCTTTCCAAATTTCCGTCACGAGAAACCCGTGGTCGAGCAGCGTATCGGTGGCGTAATTGTACAATATCCCCTGGTCAGAATGGGCGACGCAACGTTCCATGTCCACCTTGCACGTTTTCATCAGGTGGTGGTGGTCCGTCATCAGGCGTTCGAGTTTCGCGAGGGCTCCCGGGTTGAGCAAGTTGACAAAGGCACTCATCAACCGTCCCGGTTTCTCAAAGGCATCGCCGGGCCTGGAGGCAAAGGAAGTGAACAAACGGGCAATGACGGTCCCGATGAGGGACGTGTTTGCCGACGTGGATGTGTAGCCGATGGAGAGATGGTTCTCCAATTCCAGTTGTTTGCAGGATTCCGATCCTAGATAGGGGACGCGCAAGCCCATTCCGATGCAGGAGACACCAGACTCGTGTTTACCGCCGGTCTCCTTCTCTTCCGCAAACTGCCAGGCAGTAGCCAGGGCATGGCATGTGCCAAAGCTGGTGCCGGTGACCAGAAATTCCCCGACCTTTTCCTTCTTCAATACGGGCAACAGGTCCGTGATGGGCCAATCTTTTATCCTACGACCCGGCTGGATCGAGCTGTACCCAAAGCCCGGAACCGATACCGAAACTACCTTGTAGTTGAGCTCCTCGGCGGCACCGACATGGGCCGGAACTGCAGAGAACAAGCGGCCGGTGCAGTTGCCACCTGGACAATCAACCAGGACCCTTGCGTCCGGAGAGGAAGACCCCGACACAAAGTATTCTACGACCCGTCCATCGTCCAAACGGATCCATTTCCCCCCGTCTGCTTCGATCAAGGACGTGTCGATTGGATCCGGATACGGCCGAATCGCCCACATGGAGCTCGATTCCGGTAGGAAAGAGTGATCGCTTTTGGTTTTCTCTTTCTCCGACATGATGTATTGGGTCCGATCAGACTTCTGTGCGATGCATCAATAGCTGGCAGTGTGATTCTGTCGCGCAATACTGTTGTCCGCGCTTTCTTTCTCCTTCCGACTTCGTGTTTCTTGTTCACAAGGATATTGATGACCAATTACTGTCACGACTAAGAAGATTCGGCATCTTTGGTGAGCCGGTTCGGTACCTCGTACCATACCTTCTTACGGTATAAT